CCATTAAAGGATTTCAGCCATTAGACTATTTACAATGCCATGAATTCTCCCAGATGAAAAATTAGTCTGTCAAAGGTTGATTATCTTTTTAAAAATATATTTTATTTATTTGAAAGGCAGAGGGACAGAGAGAAGGATAGAAAGAGTGATCCCCCATCTGATTGTTCACTTCCCAAATAGCCACAATGATTAGGGTTGGACCAGGCCAAAGTCAGGAGCCAGTAACTCCATCTGGGTCTCTTATATGGCTGGTAGGGGTCCAAGTACTTGGGCCATCTTCCACTGCTTTCCCAGGCTTATTAGCAGGGAGCTGTATTAGAAGTGGAGCCAATGGCACTCAAACCAACCCTCTGATATTGGATGTTGGCATTGCAGTGATGGCTTAATCCCATGCCACAATGCTGGCCCCATAGATTGAGTATTTTGAGGAAAGTCACAGATACAGTAAATATACAGTCTGTGTTCAAAATCAAAATCGTGTGTGTTGGGCTCTAAAGGGTGATAAGCTTCATTGCCACTGTGCCTGTCCATTTGCTGACAGCTACAAATGTAAACTTCAAAAGCAACGCCTAAGACAGGCACTCCCTACCTTCCTGTCTGCTCTTGCTAGTCCCTCTGCTTAGAATTCTCTGCCACTCTTCTTCACCTAAGTAACTCCCAAGCACACTCCACATCTCAGCAAAGAGTTTGTCTCAGCTTACAGATTTCTCTAATATCCCTTGTTACTTGAGCAGGGATAATAACCACTTTAGACCTTTCCCAATATGCTTTATATGATTGAATTCCGTCACACACTCCCAAATCCTCTGGTTCTTTATCATAACTACCAAATAAAAGGCCCATAGTTTTCATTCAGCCTTCAACGCTACCCACCATCTGGCCCAGTTTGCCTTTCAACAGCACCTTGAAGTTCCACCTTATGTTTCCAACTGAATGAGACCACCACACACTCTCCCCCCACTGCAGCAGCGCCCACCTCCTCCCTCTGATTGTTTGCCCCACCCACCCACAAACACATCCTGGGTATCTACTTGTGGCCTTTCCTCAAGCTGCAGCCAAAGTCCTGATGCTACGCACTCAGCCTGCCTGAGGGGTGCTCAGTTAGTGTTGGCCCAATGAACACCTGACCCCTTGCTGCACTGTGATGTCACTTCCTCCCTTGGATGAGTGTAAGCTTCTGATTAATTTCCCCAGGCTGGGAGATTAATCAGCACAAGCCCCTGATGTCTTCCAGTGCTTTGCCCTGAGCAGGTATTTGAAAAAAAAAAAACTTTTGTTGAATGAATGGGTGAGTGATGCTGGATAAAGATTGTGGGTACAGAAGCAAGATCAGTGAATTCATGAGGAATGCACAGAAACTGAGCTGACCCTGCAATGAAAATGAAATCTAGTACCATGTTTAAATGAACAGCAGTGAAAAGAGAGGCATTTTTATGTCAAGGCTGGCTCCATTCAGGAATCTGCAGTTCTTCTGCCTTTAACCCAGTCTTCTCAGGAGCCCACTATTCCCCATCCAAAGTGTAAATGTATTGTGGGCCTCCCACTTTTTCTGGAACATGTGACATTTCAGAGAACATGTGTACCTGGAAGAGTCTAGAAACACACCATCTTCATGTTCTGGATATATCCTGAAAAATGGATCAGTACTAACAGTGAATTTAAATTCTAAGAGCATGTTTCTCTGATGTCTATGGCAAAACACATGCTCTACTAAAAAGTTCAACACATTGACTTGCTCATGTCTCTGCAGCACATCTTCTTGTTGAGTTTTTCAAACAAATGGTAAAAGCTTCAGTATTTTCCACAGAGGATAGAGTTAAGGCTGGTGGCTGTAAATGCCTTAATTTAAATTGCGCACATGGAAAGTGAATAGACCATTCATTGTAAACCTGATAGAAGCTACTTTGCACCAAGGAGTATTTGACATGTATAACTTGATTGTCTTCTATTCACTGAAGCTGTTTTGAAGCTGTTTTCCTTGAAATGTAGAGTGAGCATAGAATTTCTCAGGGCCAGTGTTGAACAAGACCATGAAGTGAAGCAGGTATAGCTTTGTCTTCAGCTCCACAGACTGTTTTGTGCTTTATATTCACCAAGTGCATCTCTTCCCCTGGGACCAGATACCTGCATGGCCTCTTTCCCTTCTCTCTATCAGTCTATTCTTAGGAAAGATCCTGTATTTTCTTCCAACTGAAATATGAGTGATCTGGAGAAATTTAAAGAATGGCTCTACTTATGTATTCTTGCACCTAGCAGGGATCAAAGTCTTAGGCTGGAGGAATGACTCTGTAGCAATCATCTTTAAGAATAAGACATAAGTAGAAGTTGAAGAGTTCTCCACATTCCATATGGAATCATCATTATCTCTGTGCAGAAACACGACCATACACATATAAGTGAAAGCAGTTTTTAAAATGCAATTGCATAAGTAACCTTTTTTGTTTCTATCCAGCTTCACTCTCATCTTCTACCCCTACCCAGGAACACTCAGCCACTTCTCCTCTTGGACTTCACTCTAGGGGTTTGTTGGGACTCTTTGGTTGCAAGTGACAAGAATCTCATTCACAGCATCTTAAGAAAAAATAAGGTTCACAAAGTCAAATCACCAAACATAAGGGTTGAACTGACTTTATGCTTGAATAAGACAATCATTTTAACACTCTCACATACACATTTCTATCTTCTGTTTGATTCTGCTGGTATTGGTATTTGTCTCACTGTCTTCTACTCTCTCCTATATAAATGGACATACTCTGAAAGTTCTCAATTTGAAGGGAAAAAGCATGCTAACTCTACCCCAGGACAAATTGGAGCACTCTGGACAAAGATGCTTGATTGTCAGTTCAGATCACATGACATTGTGTGTAGGCAGATGTGGTATGAAAATTGTCATCTCTATGACAGCTCCTTGAGAAACACCTGAAGTGAGAGAATTGCCTGGCCGACTGAACTTGTTTATTCATCTGATAAAATGAGGAAAAAGGAGATAGCTCTGAAACTCTCTCAGCCTTAACTTGATTCTATTTCAAAATTGCTTCTTCGTTTCTGGAATTCCAATAATTGTATCTTTGTCCCTCTTCCCTGTCCTACCACCCACCAGAAGACCAAATGACACTGGGAGACTGTAATGGTCTCCTAGGGCCTGACTCTGAGGTTCTCTCAGTAAGTAAATGGGCAACCTCTACAGTACCCCTCACAAGATGACAAAGCTTATAGTTCATCCTTAACCTAATGAAACCATGTATGCTGCATGGCATAAGAGGGTCAGTATTTCAAAACTTGTCAAGCATCCCACATGCAGCATTTTGCCTGAGTAAAAACAGAAGCAGATCTGGTGGTAGTCCAGCTGGAAATGTTTCTTTATGCCATTATACTGGTGGCATGAAAGGATACTTATGTAATTATCTATGATTCAGATGTAGTTCAGGTTCAAAGTGGCTAACAGGTGGTGGTGTTCTAGGTTATACATCCATTTCCACACCACTGAACACTCATTCTTCCTCCAAAACCCACAGGAAATGTCATCTTCAATGAAGTGCTTCTCCACTAGCCAACAGAGTCCATTAGTCCATCTTCCCGATCAACTGCACACTCTGTTGTAATGATCTTTGCTATGTCCACCTCTTAGTAGTCCATTAGTTCCTAGAAGGTGTGAATTATACCTTATTCATTTTCTTCAGCATCAGGTCTGTGTGGTAGCCATCATCCCGGGCTACTTGGTGTCTTGGAACTTAACTAGATGTGTGTGATCTTGGGCAAGTCATCAATCCTTCTTCGGTCTCCGTTTCTTTATCTAGATAAAATAATGGTAAAAGCACTTATTGTATCAGGAAAGGATTGAATTAGGTGATGAACAGCCAAGTGCCTGGCACAGAGTCAACATATAGCAGAGGCGCAAAGCCATTTTGTCTTATTTTTAGTTCCCAAATGACACTAAAAATAGTGAGACAGATTAAAGAGGAGAGTGTTTACAGTTTTGGGGTCAAAACACAGCTCAGCCATGCACCAACTGACTGTTTGTTAGTGAGTTTGATGTTTCAGAGTTTGTTTCTTAATATGTAAAGTGACAATGATAGTGACACCTACCATGTATATTTGAGTGGACAAAGAAAAAAAGGTTATATAGAGGGTGCCTAGCTTAGCATCAAGCACCTAGTAGACACCTTATAAATGATAATCCATATTGTTCTCATCTGTAATGGATAATGCAAAAAGCAACAGCAAGATTACAAGTCCCTCTGTGTGTTCTCTGGCCTTTTTTGCTTTATGTATTCTGATGAAAATGAATCCATATTAACAGAAGCAATGTTTAATTGCCTCCTCATGGGCTAGACCTGTCCTAAGGCAGCAAATTATCATATTCTTCCTTTTTTCTTGAAGCTTCCAATGGGATATGTCTGTTCTAATTTAATAAACCTGCTTTTCTAGTGCCTGATTCAAAGAGGCAATACCACATGCACATTTCCAAATGCATAATTTGTATGAACGCTCAGGCCCTTAACTGCATGGGAAAGCAATGTGGGAGGGGCAGGTATGGGTATCAGTTCACTTTCATTTGAGTGGGTGCCAACCAAACTTCCGCAGTTAATTGTGTCTCAGAAATTTTCTCCTGGAAGAAATAATTAACATGCAGGCTTCTAGCTGTTGCCTGGCCTTTGTTTGTTCCTGGTTCTTGGGTTTGTATTGTTTACAATGTCATTTCAGCAACCATCACATAATATATGGGGCACTTGGAGCACTCCTCCCACTCCAAGCCACCTTGCCTCTCCCTACCTCCCATTCCAAGCTAGTTGCTCCATTTCCTTCCTCGTGGTTTCACAGCACACGAGAAGATGGACGATGTCTATAATGCAAGCTCACTCTTAGAAAAACACATTCAAGGTTTGGGCTGAGAGTATATGCAGAGGGTGCCAGGGAAGCAGGGAGCCATTCACTCAGGAAGACTTCTGAATGGACATGGTGAGCTGCCGGGAAAATGATGGTCTTCCCTTCATCTGCAGGTAATGCAGGTGGTGAAAGAGCAGGTTATGAGAGCACTTACAACCAAGCCTAGCTCCCTGGACCAGTTCAAGAGCAAACTACAGAACCTGAGCTACACGGAGATCCTGAAAATCCGCCAGTCTGAGAGGATGAACCAGGAGGATTTCCAGTCTCGCCCGATTTTGTAAGTTACCCACTTCTGACCTCCCCAAAGGCTCAGAGCCGCCATTTCTAGAGGGAATGCCTAGCAACTGGCAGGGTTGTGTTGCAAGCTCATTAGGCAAGGCCAGCAGAAGATGTTCCAGAAGATCCCAATTAAGTTAGGGCAGCTTCGGCAGCTCCTTCAGGAAGGGCTGGGCTGGGTAGACAGGGTGGAAGGTGGAGTCAGGTGCTGGCAGGATGACTCTTAAGTCAGGAAGCAGCCCCGTGAACAACAACCCTCTAGGGATTTGTGACTTTTCCAACACTGGGAACACTTTTGCCTGTGAAATTATATTCTACGTGGGTACCCTTTGCGTGAAAAGAAGCCCTGACCCAGCCAGAGTGAGGCCCACAGATAATAATTCCAGCAATAGAATCCCAGAATGGCAAGAGGCTGAGCGTGGGAGAGAAAGCTTGACAGGGAGGGACCCTCTCCACTCCTTGGCCCTGGTGGCATCAGAGCACCTCGTCTCGCCTTTATGGCTACAGTGAGGAGGCAGCAGGCCCCCTTTTTGCAAGACTTTACATAAAATGCCACTTGCAACCTCTGCACGGTTTCAGGACCTCTTTAAAATGTTCCAAAGCTCCAACATGGAGAGCTGTTTCGCTCGCTTCATCTTTTCTTGATGATCATGTCCCCTTGTCCTTTTTTTAGCAGCTAGATCATTTTTGTCACCCTTATATTTTTATAGAGAAGGAAACAGGAAAAGGAGAAGAATAGGAAAAGTGTTTGTCATTTATTATCATTCTTTTTCTGAACTTTTGTGTGAAGCTAACTGGTGGCACAGCTGTGATGCTGGAGTCCCCTTTCCACGTGCCCCTCCCTGTACTCTCTGCGTTTCAGGTTCTTTTTTTTAATCCCCTCCTTGCTTCTTACTCTCATATACTTGGAATTTTTACTGCCTGGCAATTAGCAAAGCACCCCTCGTGCTGTTTGGTCCCCTCATGTCCCTATGAGATAAGACACCTTTTAGCCCCAAAGACAAGGATACAGTCTGGACAGGTGATGACCTTGCTAACAAGTGGTGGAGCCAGAATTTGAACTCAGGTCTGCTGATCCTTGGGCTAATCTTTGGCAGGCCCACCAGAGGTCCTTTGCTGTCTCAAGGCATGAAGTGAGGTTAAAAAAAAAAGTACACAGATCAGAAAAGACAATAGCCAAGCTGTAGCATCTACTGTTTTTTTTTAACATTGTATTTTGCAATTTTCTATCAGCATGTAATACTTGCACATGTTCATGGGGTACAGTGTCATATTTCAACACGTGTATGATGTGAAGTGATCAAATCAAGCAGCCACCCTTTCCATTTTCTTTATGTTTGTAGCTTACCCAGCTCCTCTCTTCCTGTTCTTTATACAAAATATGATACGTTATTGTGAGCCATACTCACTCTCTTACAGTGCCATGGAGCACTAGAACACATTACTTCTGTCTGACTGGATATTTGCTTTTAAATCTTAAGAAGCGCCGTCAGAACTGCAGGCGTTAGCTGGCACGTTCTTAGTCAGCAGGGGGAGGAAAGTGCTTCCTAGGGGCTTTGGCTTACATCCTTCTGAAGCCCGAGTTACACCTGCATGGAGAATCAGCCAGCCTTATGAGAAGCCCTGCTGGGATTTTGCATTGGTCCTTAGCCAGAAGACGGCAATAGCCAGAAATACTGTGCAGAAAGCATTCTGGATAAGTGACTGGCTCCTTGGAGATGTAGTTTCTTACCTGCAAGGAGGAACGGTGGCACCTCGCCCCACCCCAGGGCCTGCAGAACTGATATGCTGGGTTTCACTGTGTGTTTTGTGGCAAATGTATCAACATGACAATACTTCATTTGCCTTTGACATCAGTTCTTAAAACTAGAGAGCAATTTGACCAGTCACTTCCGTTAAGGCCCAGTGATGCTAAATGAGTGTTTGACCAAGATTTTGTTCCACGTAAGAGCATCAGCTGCGTGACCAGAGTGAACGCTCTGCTCCTGTTTGTGTCTTCACTTCCCACGATGATGTTCTGAAATCTCTTTGCAAGAAATCTCCTCTATGGCAGGAAGCTCTTGTCTTTACATTTCCTATGTGAGTGAAGAAGAAGCAAGGCAGATAGAAAGGAGATCTCCCGATGGCTGTAGCTTGTATGTCAGCCTTCAGCCATGAGTCTGAGAAGCAGCACAGCCCCACTGCAGTTCTTAGAGCAAGGAGTGGCAGTATAGTCATAGGGAGTTGTCCTTTCTCTCTGTCTCTCTCACTGTCTATAACTCTACCTGTCAAATAAATTTTAAAAAATAATAAATGAAGTAAAATAAAATAAAAAGGGGTCGGTGCCATGGCTCACTTGGTTAATCCTCCGCCTGCAGCACTGGCATCCCATATGGGCGCCGGGTTCTTGTCCTGGTTGCTCCTCTTCCAGTCCAGCTCTCTCCTGTGGCCCAAGAGGGCAGTGGAGGATGGCCCAGGTGCTTGGGCACCTGCACCTGCATGGGAGACCAGGAAGAAGCACCTGGATCCTGGATTTGCATCGGCGCAGCGCCAGCTGTAGTAGCCATTTGGGGAGTGAACCAACAGAAGGAAGACCTTTCTCTTTGTCTCTCTCTCTCTCTCTCTCACTGTCTATAACTCTACCTATCAAATAAATTAAAAAAATAAAAATAGTCATAGGGAGTTGTTGGAAGCTGCAGAATTTTTCTTAAGATTGATTGATTGATGATTGATTTGAAAGGCATAGATAGAGAGAAAAGGATAAGCAGAGAGAGAATGAGATCCTCCATCCACTGATTCACTTCCCCAAATGAGTGCAACAACCAGGGCTGGGCCAGGCCGAAGACATGAGCCAGGAACTTCATCCAAGTCTCCCACGTGGGTGCAGGGGCCCAAACAGTTGGGCCATCTTCCATTGCTTCTCCAGGAGCATCAGCATGGAGCTGGATCAGAAGTGGAGCAGCCAGGAAATGAACCAGTGCCCATATGAGATGCAGGCATCACAGATGGCAGCTTGACCCTCTATGTCACAATGCCGGTCCTACTATAGAATTTAAGCATGAAAGCCAGGGACCAGCTTGGTCATTATCCCTGCCCCTGAGCCAGGCAAGCAAGAACTGGGATAGGATTTATCTGTTAGAGTGATCTTTTTCCACAGTGATCTCTTCTACCTATTTTAGTAGTCTGTGAGATCTGAAAGCACTGTGGTGTTGGATGAAGTATAAACGCTGCCAAAATGTCTCAAGATAGGTCCAAGTCACCTGAGAGAAAGGGATGGGCCAGATGTGCTTGTTTTCATTCATACAGTTAACATGTTTTGAGCCATTCCTATATGCCAGGCCCTGACCAACGTGCTAGAAGCAGGCAGAGGCCCAGAGACACTTGGTTCTCTGCTATCCCAGGCTTCAAAAGCCGAGGTGAGATGGGAAGGTTATCACAGACTGTCCAGCGTTTAGTTTAGTTACGTGAAGTGCGGGTGGGTTGTTGTGAGAGCTTACAGGAGATGCATCTAACCCGAGCATGGGTGTTAGGATTTTGGAATTCTCTAGCTAGAAAGCACCTTGCAGGAGTTCTGCTCAAGCCTTTCCTCTTTAAGACAGGAATAGCAATTTCACTAGGACTTGACCCTGGCCGTGGGGATATAGCTCTTGCCTCTGGGCCCCCATGGCACTCTCTGTGCCACACACATCACAGTGGCAAAACCTCAGTTCTACGTGGCCCCTCGAGCATCTGGACCACTTTTTTAATAAAATGATTGTGTCTCTTAAGAAAAAATGTAAGCTCCAGGTGAATGATTTTGGGGGGATATATATTCAGTGAGTTGAAGAAGCAGCTCTGTTTTATCTCCTTACTCTTGATTAATTATTTCAAAGAGAAGGTATTTGTTACTTCCCACTTAATGTGACTTAACAGGGAAGATAAGTCCATACACACAATTAATATGAGTTAATGGATATAAAAAGCTTGACTGGTCGAAAAGTAGGTCATTTATCCCATGTTGGAAGGGAAGGGGGAATGCAAGGACAAACTCCAGTGAGGCAGAGAAGTAAAATGGATTGAAACCTGGACCCAGGAAGCTAACAGAACTGGGATCAGATTCCAGCACTACTATGTCCAAATGTGCCTCCTGAGGCAAATTGTATGTCCCATTCTCAGCCTGCTCTTATATCTAAAATGAAGATGATGAAGTATCTGAACATGTTTGCAAATTCTTACAAGGAGTTCACAAAGCAGTGACCACATGCCTAGCTCATTCTAACCACCCAAAGAAGCAGTCGCTCTTATTACTAACCAAAGTATAATGTGGCGAGCTGTGACACTGTTTATGTGTCAAAGGTCAAATTGACACTGTCATCGTTTTTGTATGTGCTTCAATTTGTCTTAGTACCATAAAACAGAAAGAAAAGATAAAAACAAACAGAACCATAATCAAAGCTAATACCTACTCTGTTAATTGATACCCCCACTGAAAATCAGCCACATGCTTTGCTGAAAGCCTTATTGTAATCAATACCAGTAGGACCATCTGGGCACTTGTACAACATTTAGTGTTCAAAGATTTGGTAAAGGCAAGTCATGTGTTGCTGAATGACAACATAAAGTTTTGAGAAATTCATCATCTGGTGATTTCATCATTGTGTTACCATCATACAATGTACTTACACAAATGAAGACAATATAATCTTATGGGGCTACCATTATATCTGTAGTGCATTGTTGACTGAAACATCATTATGAGGCACAGCACTGTGTTTGTTGAGTGCCTACTACATACTACATACATACACTGTTCTGTATGTCGGTGATTCAGTACTGAACTCAACAGACTAAATCCTCTTCCCTGTGCTGAAAATATTCTAGTGAGGGGAGACAGACAATACACATAATAAAAAGATACCATGTTAAGGGGGATACATGCACTGGAGAGGGAGTGGGTTAAGGTAAATGACAAATTCACAGTTTCAAATACAACCCTCAGAGTAGATCTCTCTAATCTGGTGATGAGATTTAACTAAAGATGTGTAAGGGAGTAAGGGAGGAGATCATGTGAGTATTTGAGAGAAGGGTATCCCAGACAGAGTGCAAAGGCCCTGAGGTTGCAGCATATCTGAATACTAAATAAATAATAATATAATAATAAATAAATAAATGAATAATAAAGAGGCCAGTGTGGCTGCAGCTGAATTAGTGAAAGGGAAAAACAAAACAACAGGAAGTAAGAACAGAAACATAGTCAGGAACATGATTATGTAGGACCTTTTTGGGAGCCTTTGGAGGGTTTTGAGCAAAGGGCTGACATGATTTGCTGAATTTGGAATGGACTCTATGGAGGCAAGTTTGGAAGGGGGGAGACCAGTTAGGAAGCTGTGTCAATAATCTAAGCAACAGGTGATGAGAATTGATTAGTCTGTGCTATAGATTAGACATATTTTGAAGGTAAGATACAGTGGTATTTCTGTATTGATTAGAAATGAAATGTAAGAGAGATGTCAAAGATAAGCACAATGTTTTGGGTCTGAACAACAAGAGGATGAGGAGTTCAGATTTAGATACTTCAAGCTTAGAGACATCTAAGCAGGCAGTCAGACAAATATGAGTTTGGGCTCAGCAGAGAAATCTAGGTTAGAATATAAATTTGGGAATTGTCAACATAAAGTTGATATTTGAAGCCATCAATCTACAACATAAGGGACAAAAGAGGCACAAAAACAAAGCCCTGAGGCCTCTAGTGTTGAGAGAGAAATAGATCAATGTTCATGAAACCGATGTCCCCACTCAATCCAAAGTCTCCCGTGGTCCTTTCTCAATCAAGAGTTAGCAAACTATGGCTCTTGCACCAAATCTGACCCATTGCCTGTTTTGGAAATAATGTTTTATTAAACTAGAGCCAGTTCATTTGTGTACATACTGTGGACCATGGCAGAGCTGAGTAGCTGAGACAGACACAGATCATAGAACTCACAAAACCTAGAACACTTATTACCTGGCCCTTTACAGCAGTTTGCTGACCTGTGTGTTCTGGGTTGGCTGTGTAGGGCAAACTCCAAGTTGAACATGAACTCTCACCAGTCTAACAATGGTGCTGCCTTCCCTGTATGGTAGCAGCCTCCTTGGACCTGGACTTGGACTTGTTGTCCAGTGACAGACTTTGAATTGCTCCTCACACACTCTTCTACCCTCCTCCTTTGATCTTCTTCCTCTTCTTCTTTTTTTATTTACAATACCTTTGGGTAGAGTGTGAAGGATATTTATCTTAGGGAAGCCAATATACCCATGACCTGGTGTTACTGACCCTAAGTTGAGATTTTCAGTCCCATTTTCAGCTCATGGTGTTACTATCTGAATTGCCCCAGAGGTCAGATCTGAGCTGCGAAAACATCGTAGGGGTTACTTCTGTTTTCTTAACATGTGTGAACTTCACCATTATGGAGTCCATTTGCAAGGAAACAAGAAATTGCTTAGAAAAAAAAAATCTGTTTCCCTCATTGCCTGATCATATTTTGGAATCCTTTGGTGTTCATTAAAAAAAAAAGTAACTCCTTAGTAGCAGATTGACTTATTTTTTTAAAAGATTTTATTTATTTATTTATTTGAGAGGTAGAGTTACAGACAGTGAGAGGGAGAGAAAGAGAGAAAGGTCTTCTGGCCATTGATTCACTCCCCAAATGGCCGCAATGGCCAGAGCTGCACCGATCTGAAGCTAGGAGCCAGGTGCCCCTTCCTGGTCTCCCAGTGGGTGCAGGGACCCAAGCCCTCCACTGCCCTCCTGGGCGACAGCAGAGAGCTGGATGGGAAGAGGAGCAGCCGGGACTAGAACCGGCACCCATATGGGATGCTGGTGCCACAGGTAGAGGATTAACCTACTGTGCCATGGTGCCGGCCCCCAGATTGACTTCTGGTAGCCCCAGAGGGTGGCTCCATATGTTGCAGTGAGGGCATACATGTCTTAGACTAGAATGTCATATCATAAAATTACAGTTGCTCAGAAGTCCCTCCTGTTGGTCTTCATCTCAGTGTCTTGCTCTCCATTCAAACAACTCAGACAGAGCCCAGCAAAAATATTACTTAACAGCACATCCTATAACCTAAGAATGGTGGGATTCTAAAACCCCCTCTCCTGTGTCTGCTCCCTCCTGTGGTGCTGTCCCTTCCTTCTCTGCCCAGTTGCCTGGACGTGGAAGTCGGGAGCAGTGATTTAGTCCATGTACGACTGCCAGGCACTCCCCTGCCCTCTCGATCTAGTGCAGCATTCATCAAAGCTGCAGTTTACTGAGTCCATTTTACAAGAGCTGAATGCTGATAATAAGTAGTTTTAGTGATCTGAAAGCCTGAGATCAGAGACAGAGATTTGGGCAGGGAAGGCTTTGCAAATGCAAAAAGCTCTACTAATAGAGTGGAATTCCCATATTATGACTTACAAATGTTCAATTGGGGAACATTATTGAGTACCAAAACCATTTAAGCCCCACCCCTGAAATGTATTTTTTAAAGATTTATTTATTTATTTGAAAGTCAGAGTTACACACAGAGAGAAGGAGAGGCAGAGAGAGAGAGAGAGAAAGAGAGAGGTCTTCCATCTGGGTTCATTCCTCAATTGGCTACAATGGCTGGAGCTGCACCAATCCAAAGCCAGGAGCCAGGAGCCTCTTATGGGTCTCCCATGCAGGTGCAGGGTCCCAAGGACTTGGGCCATCTTGCAAAATTGCTTTCCCAGGCTGTAGCAGAGAGCTGGATCGGAAGTGGAGCAGCAGGGACTCGAACTGGCGCCCATATGGGATGCTGGCACTGCAGATGGTGGCTTTACTCACTACACCACAATGTCACCCTCCTCAGCCCCGAAATGTTTAAGTAGGACTGTAGGACTAGACTACACTTAGATGCTGGGTCCTTTATGTATTTTTTTTCCTCTTTTCTGACATGTAAACAGAGGCAGCTTGCTAAAGGAAGTCCTGAATCTATACCCTATGCTACACTAAACTCCATGACCTGTCCCTATCTGTAAAGTGGGAATGATACTTTGGTGTGGAGAGAAATGGGTGTTAAATGAGCTAAAATTACATAGAGCACTGCCTGGCTCATGACAGGAGCTTACCAATTGTTAGTGCCTCCTCTACCTGAATGGGGCACTGTGTGAGAACAGATTGCTTACAGTTTGGTGTCAGGGTAAGTCCAGAATTAAAGCTGAAGTTGATGAATATTGAGCCCTGGCTACAGCATAATGGGGCATATGGAGTGTTTGGCCCTAAGAAAAGAGAGAATATGACCAAAGGAAATGCAGGAAGACCTTGTTTGCTACCCAGTGCTTAACAGGGACTTGGACTCATGCTATCTTCTTTGGGAGTCACTGGAGCTTCCAGGAAACATTCTTATCCCTGTCTTAGAGATGAAGAAACTGAAACTTGAAACACTAGTCGTGGGCAGAGCCTAGACTGAAATGTAGTCTTCCAAGTTCTAGGTGAATGTTCCAGGCACACTGGCAACAGTGCTCTGAGGGGTGGGCTCTAAGTCTCATGTCCAGCTTCAACTAGAACATCTCTGGCTTTATTTGACTCAAATGCTAGAATGCTACATAAAATTTCCCATGATAAAAATCTCTGCTCTAAGGGAAAGAAAGATCTTTAAGCCATTGCACTCTGTTGTGGTATCTTTGCTGCATAATGCAGCTGAAACTAAATTACATCATATTAGCCTTGAACAAGATGCAAATGATCTTTAATTTCTCTCTTTATTATCTCAACCTCTGTGGGATGCAATCTGGTCAGTGTTGCTGCCCCTACATGTGAGTGATACAATCCAAAGTAAAAAGCAGTCCTGTGGTTTGCCCAATATTCCTGTTCGGTCAGACCCCAAGTCAAGTATAATCTAGGATTTACCTGCTATGCAGGGGGAAAATGGGCAGGGCTTTATTGTCTTGGCAGAGCTGGGTGAATTTTTGTGTAAGTTTACAAGCTTTTATAAAGTAAGAGATGAAATTTTTCAGAACACTTTGTTCTAGAAATACACTACTGCAGTGGCTGGTGCTTTGGCAGATATTCTGTGTCAGAGAGTATATATATATATATAGTGTTAGTGTAACAGGTGACCCTGGCCAAGGACACTTAAACAAAGAGGTACAGCACCAGTGTTGGTGGGATGTTCATGAAAAGATGCAGCTCACCTTCTCCTGTTCCATCTGCCCATGATGCCTCCCCAACCACTGTTTGTCAAGGCGTGCTGTGGAATATGTGTTTATCCTCCAACAGGGAACTAAAGGAGAAGATCCAGCCAGAAATCTTAGAGCTGATCAAACAACAGCGCCTGAACCGCCTCGTGGAAGGTACTTGCTTTAGGAAACTCAATGCCCGGCGGAGACAAGGTACTGTTCTGGAACACTCCAGATTTGGGTAGGGTGGACAGTAGCTAGCCTACTCCCTGGGCAATCACAAGGGCAATGTGTTGGCTTAAAGGTGTACATGGCACAGGGATAGCAGTCAGTCCATGTAATTTCTGGTTCCCATGCATACCCAGGGAGATTCAAAGTCCAGAATTACCAGAGCAGCTGTGGAAATGAGGAGCCGTGCTTTGCCATTCAGTGCCATATGCTGCCATGGTGGTACCAACAATAGCTAGTGTGTATTGTAAGCCTCCAAGTGCCAGGCCCTTCTCCAAAAGGTTTACCTACATGAGGTACATCAAAAAGCTTGTGGAAAAATAGAGCCAAACAATATTTATTTTTAGCACAAAAAATTGAATTCTGTGCGTAGTTTGTTCACAAGGCACATTTCTGTGAACTTTTTGAATACACCCACCATGACCCTCTGAATTAGCTATTGTGATTATGCCCAGTTTACAGATAGGAAACAGGAGGTGCTGGAGGGTTAAATAACTTCCCCCAAATCACAGAAGAGCAAGATTTAGCCTCCACCACTCTATGGCCCTTAATGAAGCTTACTGAGCCACCAGGGAATCTGGCACCCACTATGGGATTCATCTTGGTGCTTCCGGCACGAATGGCTCTTAACTCTCAAAGCTCCCACACTGATTTCTGCCTGGTCAGAATCATGTTATTTGAGGATATAATTAACAGTGAGCTTAGACGGGATAGAATGGATTTTCATAATATTTCAGATTTCTGAATTCTCTCTATTAATCCTAACCTCAAAATGTCAAATCAAACTGTTGTCAATACACCAGATTCAATATTTCCAGATGTATCCTCACCAAGGAAGGGAGCATCCTTGGTTGTTTTCTTGCTTTCATGACGTATTGCTGATTGTCAGGTCGGAGTGTTCACATCACACTGCCCTAGAAGCAAGAAGCCAGAAAATAAAACTGAGAAGTAAGGTGTGGAGAGAGGTGAAGAGATTGAGAAAGAGCTAGGGGAAAGCATAAGCATTAATAGCTGTGCTAAGAACATGTGCCACTAGCAGCCCAGGAGAGACTTGGGTCACACCAGATGGATGTTCTGCTCACACAGAGCTCACTCCCTCATGACAAAATCATGTTCTGTTTGCACAGAATACATCCCCCCAGCCGTCTATTTTAACTCCTCTGTGCTAAATACTCATTACATTTGAAGTATTTCAAATGTTATCATTAAAAATCACATTGAGGAACTTCCAAAGGCAGAATTTTATTGAGGAGTGAAAATTCGGGTTATGCACAGAGAATGGGAAGCCCTGCCAATGAGCTTCAAGCTGAGCTTCAGGAAAGGCCAATGCACAGAATAATAAGGGCTGGGGAGGGCTCAGGAGGAGGAGCAGCAGGAGAGGCAGCCAGAGAAGGAGGAATGCGTGCCCTCCTTTCCCTGCATCCCTCGCGTGGAGCATAATGTCAGCATAAACTGTGTTCCAAGAAGATGGTGTGGCACAGTGGCAAGAACAGGAGCCCCAGCGCTGGATGGAGGGGCACAGTCTGGCCTCTGTCTCTGTCCAGCTGTGTGACCTTGGGCAGTTTCGGAAATGTGCACAAGAGTGCCTGAGGTCATTGTGAGGAAGAAAGGCGATTATGAATGTGTCTCTTAGAATGCAACGCAATAGGTAGCTACTATTATTCTACAGGGTTTTATAGAGAAAATGCAGTGAGCGGAGAATGAGTAGACCGTTCTGAGTCTCTCAGTTCTGTGATTAACCACCTGGGTGTCTTTAGACAGGACACGTGACCTTTCTCACCACAAGTCCTCAGTGTGAATGGGTGCATAGGTCCCAAGGATCCAGCAGCTCAGTTAGCCAGGTACAGGTTGAGGGTCCCTACGCCGAAAACCCAAAATCCAAAAATTTTTAGGCATTTTTATATTGTCATAAATAGAAAGGTCTATACTATGACATTTTGTTTCATAAACAAAATCATTTAAAATATTATATAAAATTACCTTTAAGGCACGTTTATAAAGTACATAAGAAACATTAGTGAATTTTATGTGTAAACTCAGATCCCATCCCCATTGTATCTTATTAAGTGTATGCAAATATTTTTAACATCTGAAATTCAAAATACTTCTGATCTCCAGTATTTCAGATGAGGGATGTTCAACCGGTACTCCGTTGCATGCCCTGATCTTTTCACTGCATTTAGAAAAATCTCAATATTTCCTTATAGTGCCCCAGAAAGGTGCTTTAGCAGGTTTCCATTCACTTGACACTGGGCAAAGGGCACAGAAGTTTGAGAGTAGGAAATGGCAAATAGACTCAGGCCACCCAAGGCCTCCCCGATGCCCAGCTAGGATTCTACAAAACCCAATTCCTAGAACCAAATTCAACTTCCTAGTCTATTTTACCATGAGATTTCCCTTTATTGACTGAAACAGGCAGGTTCTATCAAAGTAATTATTTCTAGGTGTACGAATTATAGGGAGTTGGTTTATTTTTTAAGTGTGAACACCTTATCTGTAATTTTTTTCTAATTTTCTTTCTAATTTTTTCTAATGAGCTACTCAACAAATTTAAAAAATCAGTATGTTGATAATACATTTATTAGTTGAGCTCCCTGGGAAGCTGACCATCTGTGTTTAACATCAAATTATCTTTTTGAGTACAGAAAGGGAGGCTTTTTGGTGTCTGGTAAATGGATTTGAAACCTGGAGACCAGCTCTGTGCTTAAAAATAGGGATGCAAGGCAGACTGCGCTGGAGTTAGTTTCCTATCACCCCATAAGAGCATTCCATTTAGGTTTATACAGATTAATGAGAATATGGCATAAAATCATGTTTGATCCTTTCATGAACGGTGCATTTCCACATGAGACCACCAACAGGGAAAGACACCTGCTTGGCCAGTGCCCTCAAGGGTTAAAGGGCGACTACTGCCTGTGCAGGTGCCATGGCCATGCTCCCTGTGAACTTGTCCCCTCGTGAGGAGGACACAGATGAGTGCATTTGAGTAATTAACTTTACAGGGGAAAACATGACAGCACTGGCGTTGTGCAGAACTGGAGAGCAGAGGAAGAGCAAATAGAGTCCTGCACTGTGCCACGCTGAGCTAAAAGGCCCTGGAGTTAATATTTTCCCATCGTTCTACCTGCCTCATTCACAGCTCCGCTACTTAGACTGTTATATCCTACTGCAGTGTAGAACCTTCAAACTATTTCCCCCACAACTGTATTTTGGTACCCATTAACCGTCTTTTATCCTCCTCCCACGACACTTCCCAGCCTCTAGTGACCTTGAGTCTATTCTCTACTTCTATGTAATCAACTTTTTTTTTAAAGCTTTTAGTATTTGTCTTTCTATGCCTGGCTTATTTCATTGGGTATAAAATCTAGTTCCAGCCACATTGTTGCAAATGGCAGGATTTAATTCTTAATAGCTAAGTGATATTCTGTTGTGTATATATATATATATACACACACACACATATATATATACACACACATATATATATATATACCACATTTTCTGTATCCACTCCTCCCGTGAACACCTTGGTTGATTCCGTAGCTATTGGTGGATAGTACAGCAATCAACATGGCAGTGCAAATATCACTTCCATGTGCTGTTTTCATTTCCTTTGGGAATACCATAGGTATATACCAGATAGCAGAATCAAATGGTAGATCTACTATTAATTTTTTGAGGAAACTCAATACTGTTTTCATAGTGGCTGTACTAATCTACATTGTCATCAACAGTGTGTAAGAGTTCCTTTTCCTTCATTTCTTTGCTAATATTTGTTATGCTTTCCTTTTCCATTTTTTTAAGATTTATTTTATTTATTTATTTGAAAGAATTACAGAGGGAGGTAGAGAGAGAGAGAGAGGTCTTCCATCTGCTGGTTCACTCTCTAGATGGCCGCAATGGCTGGAGCTGAGCCAGTCTGAGACCAATAGCCAGGAGCTTCCTCCAGGTCTCCCACGTGGGCTCTGGGGCCCAAGGACTTGGGCTGTCCTCCACTGCTTTCCCAGGCCATCAGCAGTGAGCTGGATTGGAAGTGGAGCAGGCAGGACTCGAACTGGTGCCCATATGGGATGCCAGCACTGCAGGCTGGGGCTTTAACCCACTGCACCATAGCACTGGCCCCTCCTTTTTCACAACTGTGTTTATGGCTGAGGTGAGGTGATATTCCATTGGCTGAGCTGAGATTATATTTCACTGTGGTTTTGATTTTCTGATGTTGAGCATTTTTCACATACTTGAGGCCATTTGTTTTTCTTATTTTGAGAAATGTCTATCAGGATCTTCTGCCCATTTTTAATTAGCGTATTTGTTTTATTGTTAGATTTTTGAGGCTCTTATATATTCTAGATATTAATATCTTATAAGAGAAATAGTTTGAAACTATATGAAAATATTTCCTCTCAACTGTTGATTGTTTCCTTTGCTGTATAGAAGCTACTTAATTTTATATAATCCCATTTATCTAGTTTTTTTTATTTTTGATTAGTTTTTAACAGAGTCAACGTGATTTGCAGATGCAATTCCAAGAACATAATGATATTCTGTTCCTCCATCCCTCCCTCTCTCTCCCTCCCACTGTTTTTGTCTTACCCTTTCCTTTTTTTTTCCTTAGTTTTAGGTAACATTTTAAAATTATATTACAGTAAAAAGGCTTAATACTTCACCAAATAAGACATTTAACACATCAAAAGCAAAAAGACCCTAGTTTAGTGGGAATATAGACAATGCTATAAACAGTAATTGAATGGAAAAATAACTATTTTACTATTTATATACAGTAAATTTTGAAGTAATCACAGATTACTTAATCACAGGTTAAAACCATAGTAGTCGGCCAGTGCTGTGGTGTAGCAGGTAAAGCCACTGCCTGCAGAGAGAGCATCCCATATGGGTGCCAGTTCGAATCCCAGCTGCTCCACTTCTGATCCAGCTCTCTGCTATAGCCTGGGAACGTACTGGAAGATGGCCCAAGTACTTGAGCCCCTGCACCCACTTGGGAGACCCCAAGGAAGCTCCTGGCTTTGGATTGGCTCAGCTCCAGCCATTGAAGCCATTTGGGGAATGAACCAGTGGACGGAAGACCTGTCTCTCTCTCTTTCTCTCTCTCTCTCTTTCTCTCTCTGCCTTTCAAATAAATAAATAAATCTTAAACAAACTATATTAGTATAACATTTTTAACCATTAGTTTGACAAAAGTATAAAACAAAGTTTTACAGAACTATATTTGCAGCAACATTGATACACACAGACATTTCTTTTTCTTTTTTTTTTTTAATTTTAGCTGCCACATATAAGGGAGAACATGCAGTATTTGTTTTTCTGGGTCTGTCTTATTTCATTCAACATGATGTTCTCCAGTTGTATACATTTTGCTGGAAATGGTAGAATTTCATCCTTTTTTATAGCTGAATAATACCCCATTGTGTATATATGCCACATTTTCTTTATCATTTCACCTGATGATGGACACCTTGGTTGGTTCCAAATTTTGGCTGTTGTGAACAGTGCTGCTATAAACACTGTGGTGCAGGTATCTCTTTGATACATTGTGTTCAAGTCCTTTGGGTATGTACCCCGTAGTGGGATGGCTGGGTCACATGGCAAGTTATTTCTATTTTTTAATGAAATCTCCACACTGTTTTCCGCAGTAGCTGCACTGATTTACATCCCCACCAACAGTGTAAAAGTGTTCCCCCTTCTTCACATCCTCTCCAACATTTGTTACTCTCTGTGTTTGGATTTTAGCCATTCTGACAGGGGTGAGGTGATATCTCATTATAGTCTCGATCTGCATTTCCCTGATGGCTGGTGATGTTGAGCATTTTTTCATATATCTGTTGGCCATTTGTATTCTTTTGGGAACTATCAAAGTTCTTTGCCCTTTTCTGAGCTGGATTGTTATTTATTGTTGTTA